AAAGAAGGTTGCTCGGATCAAATCTATCCGGGAAACTTGAGGTGGAGTTGCACGGCGTTCGCAGTCCTTGAAGTCCCCCTATATCTTGTTTTACTGTTATCTTGTTTCAAACAGATGTGTTTCATTTTAGACTATAATTATAGAATTCTAATTGCTCATGTATGTGTGATTCCGGATTTTTGGGATTAGTTCAGACCCCGTTACTTATAAATTTATGTTATGTATTTCAGAGTATTTCAATCGTTAATCCTTAATATTCCGCCTTTAAATTATTAAAATTAGTTAATTCTTTAGCTAATGTTGGTTTGTCTAGCAAGTGGATGTTAAGCGCCATCACGATGCCGTGATTGGAATTTCGGGTCGTGACATTTTTTGTTAACTCTAAACGGGATAAATTACTGCTTTAGTTGTGGAAAGCCCCCCTTAAGAGCGCCCAAGCTTTTATCGTGCTCTCAGCATACGTCTCATTGGACTAGTAATTTTTATGGCAAGTGATTGTTAATGATGAGAATTCCATCTCTTTCTGCTTTCTCTTCTTGGTTTCATCAGAAACTTTAGAGGTTCACTACGATCCTTGTTTGGCTCATTGAGAACCTTTGGACACTAGATTCGTTTTTTTCTTATTGATTAAAAACTTTCGGCTTAATCATTTTAACTTCAGCACCACTAGGTTGCCTAAGTTCTTGGACTATTTCAACACCTATAATGGATTCAAAGATTTCTTTATTAACTTTTTCTTCAAATGAGTGCAACCAAAATCCCCTATCTTTTTTGACTCCATTTAGTCTTTATCATATAGAAACGAGCGAAAAAACTAACGAGGTCAGCATGATCATCTCAAGGCCACTAAAGCTTTTGCTTAGCCTCATCATATAAAATTGGCGTACTATAAGTTAGCCATTTGTGTCATCCAAGTTTGTCATTTGTATCAATACAATACTTTGGTTCTTGTTATAAATAACCTTATTGACAATCCATATATGAAAACTTAAAGTTCTAAAATATAGACAAAGTTGAAAATTTGAAAAATTAAAATAATAGATTAAAAACTTGAAAATAAGATTTAATAACATTCCTAATGTTATGACTACACATGCAAATAATACCTTTTTTTTTATTGTTGAAAAGGTTAAATAATGAAAACATGAAAATAATGAAGTTTTTTGAAATTAACTGTAACTTTTGAACAAAGATGATAATCTTCTTGTGGTAAATTTTTTTTTATTAAATAAAAAGGTCAAATAATAAGTACAAGAAAATATTGATGTTTTTAATGATTAATTACAATTCTATCAATCCTATAGTACAGTTTAAAAGATGGAAAAGTTGATCAAAATTTGTGTTGGAGCTCTATGCTTTATACAATAGTGTAGATAATATATACTCCTAATTATTATGGTTAACATAAGAAAAAGGTTCGAGTTTCTTTTAGATTTGATCGAGACCGATCAAATCAGCGAGTAAACTAAATTACTACTTTGACAACTTCCAAAGTCCAATACAAAATGCAGTAATAGCAGGTTTATAATCATGCAGTTTTTGCCTAAGAGGGTCAATATTGGAAGACTGAGGAAATCAATAGCAACTTAAAATCCATTATTAATTTATTGTGCTGCAATACATAAACCACTCAACACCAATCAAAATATATATATATATA